GGTGGTCAACTTTTCTCTCTTGATGCTAAAGTAGTCAAGTAAAGTGATCTCATTGTACCATACACTCATCGTTTCGCTCATAGCATTTTTGGGTTGCTATGAATCTGCAAATTTGCCTAATCGAAAATTTCCCGAAAGTTGCCGGAAGACGAGGGACATGGTTTGCCCTCTTTTTCAGTCTTATTGGGTACATTAAATGCCTTAATCGTGGTTCAGTGCTAGCCTAACGAGTTAATGTTTGTCCTCTGGAAAACAAGGGACCATCGCGCGTTGCTCACCAGAAATGGCCGTCGGGTGAATTCATTCTACACTGTTCGCTGTCTCTTTGAGAGAAATGCTTTTGGTGAACTCATTCCACATTGTTCGCTGTCTCTTTGAGAGAAATGCTTTTATTTTGAGACCCTAAACTTATTAATGTATCGACGATTCAAGATTGCCGGGAGTTAATTTACATTTGCAGTCATTCTGAGTCATTTCAAAGGCTGGAGAGAAAAAAGAAAAGAGACTAAGGGAAAACATCTGCCAGATCTAAGTTCCGCTGAGAAAAGGACTTACCAAAGAGACAAAGCAGCTGGATAAAGGGTAGGCATATTTGTTTACATGCGCTAGCACGGACTGCATCTGACTGCATTGTTGGACATACAACTATCCTCTCTGATGCTAAGGTAAAGGGATCATTGTACCCGACATACAATCAACGCCTCGCTCATAGCACTTTTGTATTACTTTAAATCAGTGCAACTTTGCGTGATGGAATTTTCCGAAAGTTGACGGGCGACAAGGGTCAATTGTTTGCCCCCTTTTTCAGTCTTATTGGGTACATTGAATGCAAGGGACTATTTCGCGCTGCTCACCGGAAACGGTAGTTAAATCATGCAATGTATTTTAGGATCCGGACGCACTGGACTAACAAAATTTGTTTGGCCCTTCCAAAAATCTCGACAAAATTTGTCTCTGCCAAATTTTTAATTTGTCAAGCGTGGGCGCACTGAATCACAGCAAAATATTTGTTAACCACAAGTGTCAATCACATGGAAATTAACATCATACTTTGCCGCTTGTTTCTTTGGATCTTTGCCCCTTTTTCTGCTCTCGTCTGCTCTTGAATCCTTAGCTTGGCTGCTTTCCATTTGATTACATGTAGTCGTGAAACTTGCACTTGTACTTGTACTCGGCTGACTCNTGGGCGCACTGAATCACAGCAAAATATTTGTTAACCACAAGTGTCAATCACATGGAAATTAACACCATCGCTTACGCGCTGTTCGCGGGAAAGGCTTCATGTGATCTCACTAGAGTTCATGGGTCTAGAGTTCATGATCTTTTACCTCTTCGATCGAATATGTTGCCTCGGCATATTATTGCTTGTATTCTAGTTTTCTTCATCCTTGAATTCGTTCAACTTCAGCAGAGGCAGCTGCTACTTCTACTATGCCAGTGGAGGCTTCACCTTGTTCGACTGCAACTGATTCTAGAGTACCACAACAGACTTGTCCGTAGAAGGCGGCGAAGGCCCCATCCTTATTATTGGAACCTACCTAGGCCTTGCAATTCTTGGTTTGAAATTCATTTTCATAGGCGTAATATCCCCGAAGAATTCTTTTATCGCCAGATGAGAATGTCGCGCGACACGTTTGACACTCTGTTGGTTACACTTCGTCATAAGCTACAAAGGGAAGACACGCGGTTGAGGAACTGCATCCCACCAGAAAAAGTCTTGGCCATCGGACTATATCGCTTAGCACATGGTGGGTCATTCGAAAACGCAGGCATTGCAATGAATGTTGGTAAAGCAACTGCTCGTGAAGCATTTACTGATGTCGTCAATGCACTATACGATTTTAGAAACGACTTCATCAAATTTCCAGCTAACAAAGTAGAGACAAGAGCCTCCATCGAAACGTTCGCAGAATTATCGGATCTACCAAACGTAGCAGGCGCCATCGATGGGACACATATAAAAATAAAGGCTCCAAAAGAAAGCGCTGTCGACTACTTTAGCCGATATCAACAGCACGATGTGGCGGTGCAAGGCATCGTCGACGGAAGAAAAATATTTATGGATATCGCCGCTGGCTTTCCTGGTAGCTTGCATGATGCGCGAGTTCTTCGGAACTCGTCTTTTTACGACAGAGCAGAACATGGGGACGTTCTCGCAGCGCCAATTCATGTAATTGGCGGTCACGAAATACAGCCCTATTTGGTGGGGGATAGTGCGTACCCGCTTTCGCGCTGGCTTCAAAAACCCTACCCTGAAGGAACGAGAGATCCAAGTGAGATTCAATTTAACAAGCAGTTGTCTGCCGCTAGAGTTAAGGTGGAGTGAGCATTTGGAATAGTAAAAGGCCGATGGCGTATACTGTCTTTTATTGAAGAAGCAAGTGTAGCACGAGTTTCCAAGATTATTGTCTCATGCGCTGTGCTTCACAATTTTTGCATTCTACACAGAGATGAATGGGACTTTGATGATGGAGATGATAGAGATGATGGACAAAACCCTAATGGTGATGTGATTGGTGATGGAGAGGCTATCAGAGAAATTCTAAAGGATAATCTGTAGATGCCAGACACTCAACGTGCTATTAAACAAATTCATCAAAATGTTGTTTTATTTTACATGAAACTCTGCCACGAACGCTCGCCAACGCGTTGCGTTACGAGATGTGACTCAAAATGTAAACATCACTATTTTTCCTCTAAATGGTAATTTCACGGACTTTCAAATACAATCATAAACTGATATTACAAAAACAGTATGATTAAGAGCTTGAGTAAATGTTTAAATCCATTTAAATAGCAAAAGTTTTTTAACAAATTGAACATTTCACTGATTCACGAAAATAATCATTAGCTAATAATTTCAACTGAAACGTTGCGTTACACATGTGCAATCATTACTTTCGTTTTGTTCGATTATCAAAGCCAGAAAGTGTTCCTTTGTTCATATCAATTGTCTTTGTTTAAAATTTCAAGCATGGCGCCCATAAATTTGGTCATCATGTCCATTTCTTTCGTCTGAGCCTCTTGCACCTTTTCCATTACGCTGGCAATCCTTTCTCCCTGGTCTGTCACGGTCTTCATGACTTTTCCGGTTTCGTTGTCGGGATCAGGGGTCTGTGGGGTCTTCCTTTTCTTTCTCATGCGCCTGCTCTCCTTTTCACTGTCTGCTGAAGTGGTTGAAGTGTCGGCAGGAGCAGGAGAAGGAGTGCCTGATGAAGATGGCTTGGCTTGTTGCGTTTGACGTGTTTGAGTTCTCCGAGCCAGCTCCCGCAACACTGCTGAACGTGACGACGTCACGCACTCCGAGCACTGCATCTATTTCGTCGTAGTGCGGAGACTTCCAAATGGAACCACCGCTCTGTTTTCGCTTCCAATCTTTACGCTCCTTGTATTTGCCCACTAAATACTTCATTTTCCTTTTGCAGTTTTCCACGTTTCGGCTGTGGTTGTACTTTGCGTTCAATTCGTCGACGATCTTTGACCAGTACTTTCGCGCGTCTTTGCTCTCCAGCCTTTCGTGGTATGATACCCATAAATTCACCAAATACCGCTCTTCCTCTGGCTCAAACGAGTCGTACTTTGCCGCTTGTTTCTTTGGACCTTTGCCCCTTTTTCTGCTCTCGTCTGCTCTTGAATCCTCAGCTT